GTGTGTGTGTGTGTGTGTGTGTGTGTGTGTGTATGTGTGTGTGTATTCTCTGGGTAAAACAAATGCAATGAAGACTTCTTAAGTCTCATTCATTCAGGTTTGGTATCTTCCACTGTAATCCATCTTAGCCCATCTTCCAAAACCAACTTTTAAGTCAGATTAATTTTATATTAAAGGCAAAGGTTCCCCTGGCACATGTGTGCTAGTCGTTCCCGACTCTAGGGGGCGGTGCTCATCTCCGTTTCAAAGCCGAAGAGCCAGCACTATCCGAAGACATCTCCGTGGTCATGTGGCTGGCATGACTTAATGCCGAAGGTGCATGGAACGCTGTTCCCTTCCCACCAAAGGTGGTTCCTATTTTTCTACTTGCATTTTTACGTTTCGAACTGCTAGGTTGGCAGAAGCTGGGACAAGTCACGGGAGCTCACTCCGTTATGCGGCACTAGGGATTCGAACCGCCGAACTGCCGTCCTTTCTGATCACCAAGCTCAGCGTCTTAGCCACTGAGCTATCATTATTACCCTAATAAAATTTTTGAACTCAAATATATATTCTGGGTAAAAGAAATTGCAATGGTCTTAAATCTCATTAATTTGGTGACCCCACTGTCTTCCACCTTAGCCCACCTCCCAATAACCAAGTTTTCATTCATATTAACATACTATACTTGATGGTTAGGCGACTGGAGGCCAAAACATACGAAGAACAGTTGCAGGAACTGGGTATGTCTAGTTTAATGAAAAAGGTGGTCTAGGGGGGACATGATAGCAGTGTTTCAAATAGCTATGGGATTGTCACAAAGAAGAGGCACTCAACCTATTCTCCAAAGCATCAGAACGCAGGAAAAAGAAGCAATGGGTGGAAACTAATCAAGGAGAGAAACAACTTAGAACTAAGGAGAAATTCCCTGACATTTAGAACAATTAGTCAGTGGAACAGAAGTTGCCTCCAGAAGTTGTAAATGCTCCAACACTGGAAGTTTTGAAGAAGAGATTGGACAACCATTTGTCTGAAGTAGTGTANTTGAGATTGCATTCTTGAAAAGTATATCATGGATGTAATAGAGTCACAGAATTGGAAGGGACCTTGGAGGTCTTCTAAAAGGATGCAAATGACCAGCTGTCTGCAAGGAATATAAACCCTTCCATTCCCTACTATCCTGTCAGAGCTGAAGACACTTCTTGGATGAGAAGTGAAAACGTCTTCAAAAGAAAAGCAGAAAGTCCAGTTGCCTCCAGAATTAGCACCTTTGGGACTTAGGGTTACAAAAAAGATATATTCTGCAGCATCTCTAATAATTTTCCTGCCCCAGCTCCTGCCAATCTAGCAGTTTTTTAAAAAAAACATGCAAATGTGAGTAGATAAATAGGTACCATTTTGATGGGAAAGTAACAGTGTTCTATAAGGTCATGGAGGCCACATGAGCATGGAAGCATCTTCAGACAATGCTGGCTCCTTTATCTAGGAAATGGAGATTAGCACCATCCATAGAATGGTGAATAGAATAGACACGACTGAATAGAGAAAACCTTTCTCCTTTAATAACGTTAATCGCCTTTAATCCCTAGTTTCTAGGGACTATAGAATTCTGTGATTTCTCAATACTGAGGCAGGCTAATTTGGACTTTAAAGCAAGGATAACTCATTCCAGGGTTTTTTTTTTCTCCTAAGGTTCAGTGGCATTTGAACTGCAAGGGAAGCCAAGTAGGTTTCATTTTAGGACAGGACGGGAAGAGGGAGCAAGAGGCTGGGAACTGCCAGTCCAAAACCAAAGTCCGTGGTAGCCAAAGTCCACTTTTTTTTGCATCTGCTAAATCTCAAATCTGCTGCAATCCAACTCCCATTTTCATGACTATCGGCCAAAATCAACCAGGGGAGACATGACAACAGTGTTCCAATACTTGAGGGGTTGTCACCAGAGAGGAGGGGGGTCAAGCTATTTTCCAAAGCACCTGAAGACCAGACAAGGAATAATGGATGGAAACTAAACAAGAAGAGATTTAACCTGGAAATAAGGAGAAATTTTCTGACATTGGGAAAAATCAATCAATGGA